CATTCATTCATTCATTCATTCATTCATTCATTCATTCATTAATTCATTCACCCATTCATTCATTAATTCATTCACCCATTCATCCATTCATCCATTCATTGATTTGTCCAATGTGGTGGACAATGTCTCTTGACCTGCTGTTATTTTGAGCCCTGAAATTTACCCATATAGTGTCACAGCCGACATGCAAACACAAGCTACAGGTTGTTAATGTTGTATAATCATTTATTTTTCTGCAGATCTTTAAACTTATGTCGTGTTTTTACTGAAATGGGTGAATCATTCCTAGAACAAATAGTCAACATGCCTGGCAAGGTAAGACTTTGTTATAATATTATTTATAATTACTGCCAGCTTCAGGAATTATTTTAAAGATTTTCGTACCTTATCTGACTGAACTTTACTTCTTCCAGGACCTTGGTGATTTAAGAAGTCTTACCATTTTATTAACCTGCGTACAACATAATCAGTATGAGGTGAGTAAGATCGCCAGTAGAATAACAGAGAAATATGAATTTGCCAGTTTTCCTTCATCTCAACTTGTTGAATTTAGAAGGGAGTCCTGAATGGGACTCTAGGTCCCGTTCATGCCTACCCTCTTGGTCCTTCTTTCTTGTATTATAATTATTTTTTCTTTAGTATGTATGCTATTTTTTCTGTTTATTGTGAATTTGATAGCCAATAAAGCTGTTATAAAAAGCAGATGTCATTGAAACATCCATCAATTCTTGCGTTTATTTTCTTAATCAGATATTGTGTAGTTCCAGAAATTATCCTTACCTTCCCCCATGGAGGAGTTTTTTTCTAAGACCCTCCCTATCTCTGGAAATTCCAATTTTCTCCCATACAAACTTTTAAGTTTTGTTCTTTGTCTGATCACCCACCCCAAATTCCTCTGTGGGTGGGCTATGGATGATTTCTGGAACTATGCATTATGGATGCATGCAAATGAGATGCAAATGAGACGACAATCATTGTATCGACCTGATAGCCCCACTTGTATGATACTTAAAACAAAAGAATATCTGGTTTCGAATATCTCATAATCAGCCTTGGGACTGTAAAATTGACCAACCATTTACCATGACCAGCTACATTGTACTTGCCAACTACATTCCTATATACTTGAGGAACACTAACTACTCTACGTCTTCATCTTGTTTTCAGATTGCAGAAGTAACATTCAACTTTTGGTACCGTCTTTCTGAGGCAATCTTTAAAAGACAAGACGAATCTCAAATCAACTTATTTAAACCATACTTTGGAAAACTTGTAGAAGCACTCAGCTTACACTGCAGAATGGAACCTGACCATGTGAGTACTGTGCCTGTTTTACCTTCACTCAATTATTCTTTTTATTTATTTCTGTCCATTTTTGTCTTACAGGAAGGGATCCCAGAAGATGATAATGAATTCAGTGAATTTAGAGAAAGAGTGGCTGATTTAATCAAAGATTGTGTCTTTATTGTTGGTTCAACCAACTGTTTTAATCAGGTAAAGACAATAGATGATGATAATGAAGGTGTATGATAATGGTGATGATGATAGTGATATTGATGATGGTAATGATGATGATGATGGTGATGTTGATGATGATGATGATGGTGATGATGATGATGATGGTGATGATGACGATGATGGTGGTTGCTTCTATTTCTGCTGATCAAAAAAGCAAAACAAACCTACCTTGGCTTCTCTTAGCGCCATTTCAACCGCTTCTCTTTTCTGTTTTTCGAATCTCTCCACCAACTGTGCACTCGCTTCCTCTAAAGCCCTANNNTGATGGTGATGATGATGATGATGGTGGTGATGAAAATGATGGTAATGGATGATGGTAATGGATGATAATGATGATGATGGTGATGTCCATGAAGATGGATGATGGTGATGATGATGGTGATGTTCATGAAGATGGATGATAATGATGATGATGGCGATGTCCATGAAGATGGATGATGATGATGATGACTGGTGATGGTGTGATGAGAATGATGGCAGTGATATCATTATGCTGTTGTTGTTTCTACTCAATGAGATGTCAGCACAATGTGTTGAGATGTCACTGGCAACTAATAACATTTAATTGAATAGTTTTTTAATCAGACTATTCTTCTTCTTCAATAGATGTATGCTAGTCTCATTAGCCAACAAAACAGTCATTCCTGGGAAATCTCAGAATCTATTCTTTTTGTCATGGCAACTGTAGCCAGATCTGTAAGCCTGTAAGTATACAATAATTGTTCTGACTTTTTGAGCCTAGTCAGGCAGCTAACCAATTCTTTATATTTCTAAGGGGGAGGGGGGGGGGTACTCTGAGTATCACAATATTATTATTTAGCCAATAAACTGTCTTAATTCATTTCTTAGCTCCATTACTGTGGTTTTATATATTCTGTGAACTCAGACTTTCCAACGGCTTGTTGTGAAATGGGTTTTTTGCTGCCGACAATCGAAATAATTTGTTTTGGTTTTCAAGTCATAAAACTCACGGGGGTTTGCACTGTCACACATCAAAAGTCATGTGAAACAACAGAACTATTTCTCCTGATTGAGGAATAGAATAAAACCCTGAAAACTTTGGAACCTGGAGAAAACCCCTGAATCAAGAGAGTAACCTAACAAAATACAACTTACCTTTAGATTATTAGAATTTAGCTTTTTCAATCTTCTTGAATATCTAGAGAGTCTGAAGTTGTTGCCCAGTTCCTTCCAGTAATCTTAAACCTTCCACCCAATGTCCATCATGCTGTCAAGTACACAAGTATACGTGTGATTGGGGAACTAGCAGAATGGATAGAAAAACACCCAGATTTTATAGGTGAGTCAGTTTATACTTATTGTCCTTAAAGAACTGTCTTAAACCAATATATTGAAGAAATAGAAAATATGTGTGAGTGCTGTGTGCAGTCATAATGGATGCGGGGTTGGCAGAACACGAGAGAAGTGTTAGGAGAAGCAAGATGACACTTCTCGAGTGTTCTGCCAATCCCCAAGTGCTTTATAACTGCACACAGCACAGCAAGCAAGTTTTTTATTTCTTTTATAAAATACAAAAGGGCAGGTGCGTGCTGTGTGCTCTCATAAAGCATGTGCTCCCAACCAATCAGAATGCAAGATTTATGACAGTTAATTTTTAATTTGTTTTAAGATAAATTTCAAGAATAATGAATGGAAGGGAAGAGAATACGATAGAATAAAATGGAATCGAATATAGAATACAAAAAAAACATCTTTTGTTTTTTCTGGATTAGCACTTCAAAGCCAGTTGACTTTTTGTGAAGTGCAGAAAAACTGAGGGACCAGGAGAAAAACCCTTGAAGCACAGGAGAGAAGCAACAAACAACTCTACTCACATACAACACTGAGCTAGGCGGGCCTTGAACCCAGGTCACATTGGTGAGAGGCGAGCGCTCTCATCACCACTCCATCCATACTTCCCAATTAGAATAGAATATTTAATATCCAAACCTTACTTTATAAACAGAACTAGTAATAATTTTTCCACATATTTCTCTTGTAGATCCTTTAATGCAGTTTTTATTGACATGCGTCCAAACAAAAGACCTGGCATCTGTCAGTGCATCAGCAATAGAGAGTATATGCATGTCTTGTTCTAATGAAATGGCCCGGCATTTTGATGTCCTTGCTCAGGTAATTTAATTCATTTTTTCTTGATTTAAAAAATTTAGAAACTCTAAAACAAATACTAAACTACTATTCAACTCAGGCTTAGTGAATATCAGGGAGTATTGCGCATTCTGATTCAATAGGGTCGTTTCAATTGGCTAACGCATGACAAAAAGGATAGCTAGAGTACGCGAGTCAAATTTTTACGCTAGTTGATTGCACCATAGCGCGCGCTGTAAGGAGAATTTTGCTTTTAATCAAAGAAAATCGGTCACTTTTTTTTCCTTTTTTGTGTGTTAAATTCTTTAGAATCGTGATACAAAACTAATTACGATTTTGAGATGACAATACCACAAATATTGACTCCGCCAAATACCGAATATATTTTCTCCCAAGTAGCCGTCAATATTTCGTGGTATTATCGTCTCAGGATCGTAATTAGTTTATAATATTTACCTCGCCACTTGAAGACTCATGTCTCAGTACGTATTCCCCGATATTCACTTCGCCTTCGGTGAATAATTGTTAAAATTGGAGAGTCAAGTTTATTATTGTCATAATGATTTCCTTCCAACTGTGAATTCTTAGCAAAGCTGTAAAAACTGAAATTTAGATTATTGTTGTTGCATTTTTTTTCAGGTTATTGTTGCAACAGATTCTTTGAGCATATCAGGAGAAGCAACTCTGGGGATGATTAAAGGTTGGTAGCCCCTCTCCCAGCTCCCAACTCTCTCTGCCTTCCCCTATCTCTCTGCCTTCCCCTATCTCTCTGCCTTCCCCTATCTCTCTGCCTTTCCCTCTCCCTCCCCCTCTCCCTCCCCCTCTCCCTCTCCATCCCTCCTCCCTCTCTCCCTCTCTTCTTCTCCCTCCCTCTCCCTCTCCCCTTACTCCCAACTCTAGATCTCCCTCCACACAGCCTCTGTTTCTTACCAAAGTAATTTAATTTCTTGTTCATAGGTGTTAGTAAAATACTAGAAGGACTTACCTCTTCGGATAAAGTCACTGAAGGTTTTCGACGGCTGTGTATAGCTCAGGCCAATGCACTCTCACAAATTGCTAATGAGCCACACCCTTCTGCAGACCCTATAATATGGCTTGATCGTCTCGCTGCAGTCTTCAGGTACTTACAAGTCAGTTAATATTTTGCTCTAAATAATAGTGCATAGCATTGCCTATCTCTGTTTGACAATATTATTTTCCCATACATAGATTTACTAATTGCAAAGTTGAAAATGGCGGAGCACATCCCTGTCAAGTAGTAATTGAAGAGGTATGGCATTCCTCAGAGATCTGTTTTTGGGCCTTATGGTTCAAAAATATAATTTTTTACATAACTTTGAAAGCAGTCCTTGCAAATGAAGCCAAGCTCGATGAAATCATTTTTTCATTTATTTATAATGTGATATTGCTTTCTTTGCAGATCTGGCCAGTCATATCAAGCATATGCGACAAGTATCAAAAGGAAAATAGAATCATAGAGCGAGGATGCAGGTACCACACGGCATTCCTTGTACAGAAAACTATAACTGTTGATCATGATCGTAAATTGAATAAATGTTTTACTTTATTCCAGATGTATTCGGTTTGCTATCCGATGCATTGGTAAATCAGCAAGGAATCTTCTTTCACCTCTAGTGACTCAGGTAATGATTGAACCAATCAAGCATGCAGATCTTCAGTGTTAGGTTTTTTGCAGAGATAGGAAAATCAGAAAACCCAGAGAAAACCCCTCAAAATATACCAAGTGAGAGATTTACATGTAATAATAATAACGGGGTTCTTATATAGCGCATTTTACATGGTCTCAATGTGCTTCACAATCATGACCAGTGGAGGACTTTACGGGCTGCGTATTTAGGCGCTAGTAGCAGCCGTGCAGCTTACAATCAAGAGTAATTTGTTAGTAAGTTAGTATTAATGCCTCCAGATTGGGATAGGCTGTTGAACCGGGAGACAATCCCCTACTCTTATACGAATAATTCAACAGGTTCTTTTATGTCCCCCATTTTACTGTTGGTTAGGAAGGGTTGGGAGACAGGGCCTACAGTTTTAAGTCCTTGTCCGAGAAGACTTGAAGGTCTAACCATTTGCAGATGTAATTACAAAGGCAGCACCTTCTCCTCAGTTATTTTAAGACCCTGAGTGTTGGTCCGGCCGAGGCATGAACCACGACCTACCACACAACGGACTGACGCTATTACCAACTGAGCTAACCGGGTGGAGGTAGCTAACATGTAGCAAATGTGATGACAAGTCCATAAATCAAACCTGAGACCCCAGAAGTGAGAATAGAATGTCCCACCACTAGCCCAGTCTTGGTCCCTTTATTCAGAATTCCAGAGTATGGTTGATGTTCTTTGCCGGCTACTTGGCCGGACATTCTTTTTGTTTTTAAGTGATGTATTCCTTTATTCATTGTCTTTCAGATGGTTAGCATCTATACAGCCCACAAGCACTCTTGCTTTCTATATCTCGCCAGTATCTTAGTGGATGAATATGGAGATGAAAAGGCTTGTGTACCTGGCTTGCTTGAGATGACAAAGGTTTGTAGAGCATCCTATGGACCAACATTCTGTCTGTCTTTCTCTGAAACATCATGCAAACACTTAAAGTTCCACAGGCTTCACAGGAATATGATTCCAGAGTATACTTTGCAGGACCAGCCACCTTCAGTTACTTAAATTTCGTCTTGTTTTCTCTCCAGGCAATGTCAATACCAACATTTCAGTTATTAAGCAAAGAGAATGGTCTGGTATCACATCCAGATGCCATAGACGACTTGTACAGACTCAGTTCTAGGTAATGATAGTTTAACTAAAGTTTCTGGACCAATTTTGCAAAATGTGGTGTTGAATTTGACGCTAAATAATATCAACTATTTTTTTAAGAGATTATCTTCTCCTGGGAGATGGGTTGAATCAAATGGTTTGAAAATATGGATCACCAAAATACTGGTTGAAGGGACACCATCTGGTTAAAACTTGGCCCAGGGGGAGGGGAGGGTGGAGTATGTATTATTTCAGAGGGACCAAACAATAAAAGCTTCATAAATCAATTACCTTTTGTATTACAGATGCCTACAGAAGTTTCCATTGGAATTTCTCAAATGTGACATTGCCAGTCCAGCCATCCAGTGTGCCATTGCTGCATCAACCCTGCAGCACAGAGAAGCTAATGCTTCTGTCATGAAATTTTTGAGGGAACTCTTTCATGCTGCCGATGAAGTCGTAAGTACTACCCGTTTTCTGTTTCTGATCTGGCTAAGATTTTAACTTGCACTGCCAATGGTTTCTCTATATTTATGCTTTTTAAGCTCGATAAATTTGCCACCAATAATTTACTGCTCACTGTGCAGGCAATCACTCCCAAAAAAACGTTAAGAAATTAATAGTTTTATATTTCTCATTAGGATCAAGAGCATAAGCAACAGTGTCATGTTCTCGTTCGACAAATACTTTCGACCCACGGGGAAGCAATAGTTAAAGGTAAGAGATTAACTGTTGTTTGTTCTTCTTGTCTGCCATCTTTTCATTCCTAACAAAACAGGACACAGCTCATCTCTGAATTCTAATTCGTACATTACCAAAAAGCTTTCTCGTTGATTAGGGGATATCCAAAATTTTCAGAATGGGGTGACTGTTGTAGATGGATAGATAAAGTCTTTTTACCCTCGGTTTTGCATGAAGCTTGTTAGGCCTCAAGAATATACTGCTAATTATCCAAGAAAATTAAGAGTGAAAAAGAAAAGAAAATATATCCTAAAACCAAATAAAATATACAATAATATAAAAGCCATGACTAAGTAATGGCATAGATGAAACTTGTTAGGCCTCCAGTGCTTAACACACTGTTATTTGTCAGGTCTAGTGGATGCGTGTGCTGGAGCACTACCTACCTATRTGGTTCCTGATGTGGCTGACGTCTTATGGGAACTGCTGTCTTTCTGCCGACAGGTAAAACCACTGACTCTGTCCAATAATTTTAGTCTTTTAGCTTCTGTCTACCAGTATTCAGATGGTACGAGTCAAGTGATTTCTTGGTTGATGAAAGCCAAAGCACCTGGGCCCGGTTGTACGGAAGGGAGGATAGCGCTATCCGATGGACAAATCCTTATCCAGTGGATAAGTCAATGCTGTTATCCAATAAATTTATCCACTGTCAGTATAAGATTTGTCTGTCAGATAGCGCTTTAACTCCCCTATATTTGCTATACGGGTATATGCTGCCCTATAGGGTATGGTTTTTCGGCTTTTGGGTCTGTAGTAGGTATCATTTTTTGACATCTTGTCTGCGATAGGGTATCATTTTAGTCTGGGATAGGGTATCATTTTTGTCTGGGATAGGGTTAACGATTTGGTCGTTTTTGTCTGGCGAATAGGCTACGCTTTCTCCCGGCACAAAAACAATAAAGACGTTAGTAAATATTGATTGCAATCGATGGACTAATCGGGTTTAGTCTGGGATAGGGTGTACAATTCTTAGTTTTAGTCTGGGGTAGGGTATGTAAAGTCAAAATTTCAGGTCTGGGATAGGGTGAGGATTTTGAGGTCCTGGCGGCACACCCCTACCCAAGTTGAGGTGGTAGTACCCCCCCCCCCCCCCCCCCC